GGGGACAGAGGGTGGCTATAGGGGATCAGCAGTCCCGGAGGTGGCCCCTTGACTGTGGGGTACCTCAAGGGGCAGTGCTATCCCCGATGTTGTTTAACATCTGCATGCGCCCCCTCGCCCAGATAGCCAGGAGTTGTGGGCTGGGGTGTCATCAGTATGCTGATTACACCCAGCTGTATCTGATGCTGGGCGGCCTGTCAGATTCCACTCCCGATGACCTTAGTCAGGCGTTACAGGCCGTGGCTGGGTGGCTCAGACTGAGTCGGCTGAAATTAAACCCGGCAAAGACGGAGGTCCTGGGGCTGAGTCGGATCGGTCCGGGGTTGGGGCTCCCTCTCCCGGCCTTCGACGAGGTGCCTTTGGTGCCGGCGTCGGAGGTTAGGAGTTTGGGGGTGCTCCTGGACTCCTCGTTAACGATGGAGGCCCAGGTAGCAGCCACTGCCAAGTCAGCATTTTACCATCTTCGGCTGGCGCGGCAGTTGGTTCCGTTCCTCGACCGGGAGGACTTAGCCACCGTGATCCATGCGATGGTTACCTCAAGGCTAGACTACTGTAACGCTCTCTACATGGGGCTGCCTTTGTCGCAAATTCGGAAGCTGCAACTAGTGCAGAACGCTGCAGCCAGGCTGCTGATGGATCTTCCTAGACGAGAGCACATCCAGCCTGTGCTGAAAGCACTGCACTGGTTGCCTATAGCGTTCCGAGTGCGCTTCAAAGTGCTGGTTATTACCTTTAAAGCCCTATATGGCCAAGGACCAGCCTACCCACATATGCCCCCAAGAGCACTACGGTCCGGGACTCAGAACCTGCTGGATGTGCCAGGTCCCCGGGTTATCAAACTGGTGACGACCAGGAACAGGGCATTTTCGGTGGCGGCTCCTATCTGGTGGAACGAGCTCCCAGAGGAGATCAGGGCTCTGAGGGACCTAGCACAGTTCCGCAGAGCCTGCAAAACGGAGCTCTTCCACCAGGCGTTCGAATAGGAGCCGCCATCACCATGGTACCATCTATGCCCCAAGCCTTGTGGACAGGGTCACCACGATGTGGGCACTTGAAAAGAGGATGAGACTTCAGGAGATCACCATCTTGTTCTTAGTTATGTGAGCACCAGATACTGTTTGTATGTATGATGTTTTAATATTTGATATTATTTAATATTTTTAATGTTTTATTGTTGTATTACATCGGCAATATGCCTTGTAAGCCGCCCTGAGCCTACGGGGAGGGCGGGATAAAAATCTAAATAATAAATAAATCATCCGAAAATACAAGAGTTTTTTCTAATTCAATTAGTTTGTCATTAAAACCAGTCTTATCTTTATTATAGATTCTAATTGTGTTTTATTCCACCAAGGAGCAAACTCCTGTGTGACTGCTCGCGCCGCGCTGCAGAGGGACCTTACTTGCCATTTTTTCTAAGAGAACTGAACCTCCAGCTGTGAAGATACCAGCAGTGTAGAAGACACGGGGTTCTTAAAGGTCATGGTGCTGTTTCCTTTGTTTCTTCCCTCATTGTTTTATGTGTGGGCAAAACAGGGTGACCTCAGGAAGGTGCGTGGCCACTGTTATCTATGCACTGATTACATCCAGTGCAATTTGCTTTATGTAGGGCTGGCTATGAAGACTGCTTAGAAGTGTACACTGGTTCAGAATATGACTTGCCAGATTTCTGTGATGGTTATTATGTTAGCTAGATCGTGCCAGGGCTGAGAGAACTGCACAAGTTTCTAGTCTGCTTGAGTGCAGTTCAGAACAGTTCTGCATGGTTTTGGCCCAGGGAACATGAAAAATCATCTTCTCCTATATGTGTCAGGTATGATTTTCATCAGAGGCCTGCTTTTGTGAAACAGAAGCAGTACCATGCACCCAAAACAAGGCTTTTTTGTGGTAGTGCCGACACCATGGAACTCACCCTCCCACACATACACAATCTGCCAGTCTTCAAGTGCCAGGTAAATACATATTTATTATTTTTAATGATTTTACAATATTTACCACATCTTAAATTTACTGATCAAAGTTTGCATTGTCTTCCATGTTGCCCTTTCTTGAAAATTCTGCTGCCTTGTCTGAAATTTTGACCTCTATTTGATCACTTTTTGTCTGCCTTCTAGATTCTATTTCCATCAAGTCTTACTTCCAGTCTTGTTGCTTTATCACGTCGATTTTTCAGTTTTGTAGTTTTTGGCTTCTCAGAAAGAATATTCTGGGGTTTTTTTAATGCCTGTAACGGTTTGATTTTTGCATGGTTTTATTTAATTCCTTTATACACCACCTGTCTCCCCAATAGGAACATAAAGCAGTGTACATCTTTCTCCTCTTTTATTTTATCTTCAGAACAGCTCTGTGAAGTAGGTTAGGCTGAGAAAGTGTGACTGGTCCAAGTTCATCCAGTGAGCTTCTATGGCACAAGTAAGGACTGCATCTTCCAGATACTGGTCCAACACTCTTAACCACTACACCACACTGGCTCCAATAATAATAGTGTTAATATTTTTCAATTATGCTATAAGCTGCCTTGAGCATCCCTTTAAAGATGAAATATGAGGTTAATTTTAAATGATATGTACACAATATAGAACCACTCTCTCCAAAACAGCACACATTCACCTAAACGCGATTACTAATAATCAATGGGAGTATTTCCTTCACTAGAAGCCATGAAATTACTTTTGGAGTTTTCCACAGATATCGACCCCAATTCTTCTAAGACGAATTCCTCCTATATCATATTCTTTGACTGAATTAATCAGACTGATCAAATATTGTGACTGGCTTCGGTTATGCTTCTGCCCGAGAAACCCCATAACGAATTACAGCTCTGCCGTCCCCACAACAAACGCGCCCCCACAAGTCTGAAGTGACCGACAGGAGACTATCCAGTCGCTTTTAAAGGCGCGGGGAAGCTGTGGGCGGGGCGATCGCTGAAATAACGGCTCCGAGGCTCTCCTTCCAACGTACATTTCCTCAGTCTTGTGGGCCGGGCTGAGCGGAGGGGCGGAAACAATCCGGCCACGCCCCCTCTCACAAGTCGTTCCGCTCTTTGCCCTTTGCCCGCGGACCGGCCCCTCCTTCCCGTCCTCTCGGCCAATCAGGTAGCGCCCTGTTGGCTGAGCCGGGTTGCATGCAGCAGAGTCCAAGATGGCGGCGGTCTGGGTGCCGAAAGGGAGCCTGTTGGTGCTCTTCTGCCTGGGCAGCCGCTTGCTTCACGCCACAGACGCCACCGGCCAAGCGGAAAAGGGGCCTCCTTTGCCTCACCGGCGGTTCGAGTATAAATACAGTTTCAAGGGGCCGCATTTGGTGCAGGCAGACGGGTCTGTGCCTTTCTGGGTGCACTCGGGCAGTAAGTACCAGTCGGCAGAGCGTGGTGGGGAAGGAGCTGCGAGGCTGTGACTTGTTTTGAAAAACCGGAGTTCGGTTCTAGAGCACATTAGGTTATGGGCGAGGGCACCTGCGAGCATATGCAGAGTGCAGCGTCCTCACCATCGAGTCCGCTACGCACCTGGAATTAGAGACTGGGCTTTACAGGTCGGAGGAGTGTTTGCAGAGGAGCCTGTCCGCCTTCAGAAGCGAGCCATGACAACCTGGTGGAAGGAGAGGTTGGGGGATGAAGAAGCAGGCATATCTGACATTGGACCCATTTCTTCACTTCCTTTTGTATAAGTTACCTATCAGGCAGGTAGATGTCTGTAGGAGTCTCCCTTCCTCCAATATCTTCGTATTTATGTCTTCACACTGCTGCTGCATTAAGTACCCACTAATTTCATCTTGCAGTTTAAACCACACAGGCGGACAAGGGAAATGAGGACGATCTATTAAAAACGTTGGCCATGTAAACCTGTAGTCAGCTGATCTGTGGGAGAGAAGGTGGTTGCTCACAGAAATGATCTGGGTTAGGGCATGGCATCAGGGGCACTTTTGTGTTGTTCTCTGGTGTGTAGGATGGTGGCAGAAAGCCTGAAGGTACAAGTCTTAGCCGTGTCATACCTTAGAGAGTCCTAACCCAACTAATCGCTTTGTTGGTATGCCTTTTCATCTTTGGGGCAATGGCCTTACGAATGCAGGTCCATTGTGCCATTACTGTTTCTGCTGATATCTTTTTATATAGTGCCTCCATTGTGTGAGGTGACCTACAGAGGTGACTCAGCAGCTGCTTGGAAAAATGTGACTTTAAGGATAGCAGAATAGTTTTAGAATTTGTTGAGTAGTCCCAATACCCCCTTTCCCTTATGGAGTTGGTACTTACAAATTTCTGTCACTTATACATGAGGGTGCACCTTCTCTTATTTTTCTGATCTTATACTAGAACATGACATCTCCACCCATTGCTGCATATACATGCAAGTAGTATTTCTAAACTTTGACATACCTCAGAGTGCAAAAATGTTATGTGTATGTCTTCAGTGCAACAGACCACTGTAGGTGTGTTATTCTAAGTGCCTTCTCTACCTTAGCCTTTGTTACGCAAAACAAAGCATGGTTAATGACATAACTATGGTCTAATAAAGTTATAAGCCTTTCTTTTGGAATTATTAGGTAGGATTTGTGTCCTTTCTGATGCTTTAACTTAAGCAGTGCATGTGTTTCAACATGTTTCCAGAGTTCTATAGATCCTAGGGGCTGTTACAGACCTTGTTTAATGCTGTGCATCAGTATTGTGTTGCTTTCCCAAGGTTGGTGATTAGTGGCATCTTACATTACCAAGAAGTAAAGCACACCATATGGTGCTTCACTAACCTGCAATGGTGTCCCAATAACAGGTTTTATTCTTCAAATGCCTTCTGACAAACAAGCTGCTCTGTGTTAGTCTTGTTTGTTCAGGGAAGTCTGCCCATGCCCTTTAACCATTCTGTCATACACCTAGCAAGAAATCTTATGTCTGGTGGATTTTCCCACCCTTTTTCATTGGGGATTATGCCACTGAGGAGTTTAATGTGTGGGGGTAATTGCAACTGTGGTATAAGAGGATGTGATATAATAGGATGGTTGTAGTTCCATATCGGCTTGCATAGAATACAGGGGTGATTTGCCATCTTCTCAAAGTTATGAGCCAATTGTAGGGCTGAGAAAATTCTGAGATATTTATTTTAGTGATTTCAAAATATTCCTTGATTTTCTGCAGCTAATTTATCTTATGGCTAAAGGACAGGTGTAGGAGTTGCACACAACCGTGTTAACTTGAAGCCTACACGATTGCTTGAACATACTACTTAAGAACAAATGTATTTTTTCAACATAATATGTGACATAATACTTTGGACGGAAGTTTTTTATGCCATTTATCTATCTTTGTAGTTCTCATGGAACTACTTGCATTCTTAGTCTAATGACATTGTTGAAGTATAGTGGAACCATTACAGTCTTTATGATGATGTGTCACTGCTCACACAATTGAGAGACTGGCTTATAGTGTTTTCCATCTTGCCTAGCAGCCTCTTCCTCCAACTCCCCCCCCACACACACACACTTATAATCCTACCAAATAGTTTTTAAAAAGTTGCTGGCTACTCAGACTCTGTTTTGGTCCTGAATATATCTGGTTACTGTGGACTTTGATTTTTTTTTTTTAAGTTGCCCAAACGGCCGTTTGCAGCTTTCATAAGTGTTGTGTTGACTATTCTGTCATTCGTTAAACCTGTGCTTGAGTCATAAAGCAAGTATCTCCTAATAAGTTAAAAGAGGACTAGGCAGAAGCTCAGATTTAACACAGTAAGACTGAAAACCAGGTGGGGGAAATAATAGGAAAAAAACAACCCTGCAATCTGTAAAAGAAGGAATGTAATACTTCAGTGAATGCCTGCTGCTTAGTATAGAAATGTATCAGCAAGTCCTGACTTTGAGGGTGGAAAACAAAATGGGGGTTAAGAGTAAAGGAGAGAGATGCTTAATATGAACATTTATTGTAGCAATAATAATTATCGTATGACAGTGTGTGTCGTGTAGCCAGGAGATCCTACAATTGTCTGGCAGCCAGAAGTTTTAGCTCTTTTTATGTTATGCACCACTAGGTGGTGAGCTAGACTTGTTTTTTAAGGCAAGAGATGTTTCAGAGGTGGTTTGCCATTGCCTGCCTCTACGTCAGGACCCTGGTATTCCTTGGAGGTTGCCCATCCAAACGCTAGCCCAGGCCAACTCTGCTTTCCTTCCGAGATCTGACAAGACAGGGCTAGCCTGAGCTGTCCAGGACTCAGGGCATTTATTGTCGTGAAAGAGCATGATACCCATGCCATGACTGCATGACTGTTATTATGTACCATGTGAAGCTTTAGTATCTGTTCTGTCAATAATGACCTTGTAACGATTCCAGGTTTTATTGTGTGTGTGTCTTTAAAAGTGGTTTGTATGGATGTATGGCAGACTAGGATGCTGAACTCAGGGAAGTGAGATGATTGGTGAGTGACAGAGAGGGGGAGGGGTTTTGGAATGAATGCTGTGTGGATGAACGGATATGTCAGTCAAGAGTTACAGTTAAGGATGACAGTTAGAGAGTTCTGAGTTACAGAGTGGAGATACAGTTAGACAGTACAGTTAAACAGATAAGAAGAGGCTTCCCTGTGTGGGTTGCTTAGTTCGGAGTAAAACAGTTAGTCAGACAGCAGAGAGTGCTGTACAAAAGCAGTTAATATATTAGTTTTGTCCTGAGGTCTCTGTGTGAGACGGTTCCTGTGTGAAACATAAGAGAGAAGTCTGGTGTGTGTTAAGAAAAGTTAAAGCATAAAGAAACAGTGACCATATATGGCTAAAGGAAACTATTGTTACATAGTGACATGCCCAGAGCCCTGTCAGTGAAGAGAAAAGTGTGTGAAACAGCAAATAAATCTACTTTTATTTAAGATAACAGTTCTGAACGAAATTCCTCAGGAAATAACACATAGTCCTTCATGAATGCCTAGACCCTGGCCACATTACCAAACCAGAAGAAGAAATATATTATAGTAAGAGGCTGGGAAAGTCTTAAATTTCCCTGGTGGCGGCGAAAATACCCTATAGAGTAAAAACATAAGAACTTTTAAAGGCAAACCAGACCTCCCCAAATAAGAGGTCGTCACAAGTGGTGCATGG